CAGGCAGAGGCTGGCTGCCCTTAAAAGGTGTCGGCGGAGGGAGGCGTCCGAGCGATGGTCTTCCGCTGAGGCCAAGGAGACCTCCCTCAGGTGCAAGGTCTGCGGATTGCAGTTCAGGCGGATCTCCAAGCTGATGGAACACCTGAAAGCCCAGCATATTCTGGGAAGGGAAGGCAAATAGCGACAGAATAGATAACCATATTTCGCTTGTGGCAAATTCGTTATACACAAGCTAGTTGTTATACCAGTGGAGAAATATTAAATATGATCAAGTTCCCAATTATTTCATTTCATGTAGAAATTCCTTCAAGGAAATCCATCATGTGGCAATATCAATATGCTTCCCAGCATGTTCTCGGAAGGGAAATAAGACGCTAAGTGCGCCATTACTCGTTAAGGCCCCATGCCTCCCTCGCGAATGGGCAGCCTTTCGGTGTCCTAAGGAGATCGTATGCGATATTCTTACATCTACATTATCATTATTTTTATGATTACTGCTATTATCATTATTTTTATGATTACTGCTATTATCATTATTTTTATGATTACTACTATTATTATCATTATTTTAATGGTTATTACTATTATTATCATTATTTTAATGGTTATTACTATTATTATCATTATTTTAATGATTACTACTATTATTATCATTATTTTAATGATTACTACTATTATTGTCATTATTTTAATGATTACTACTATTATTATCATTATTTTAATGATTACTACTATTATTACCATTGTTTTTATGATTACTACTATTATTTTTATGATTACTTCTATTATTACCATTATTTTTTATGATTACTATTATCATAATCATTGGTTTAATGATTACTATTATTATAATAATCATTTTAATGATTACTACTATTATTATCATTATTTTTTATGATTACTTCTATTATTATCATTATTTTTATGATTACTACTATTATTGTCATTATTTTTATGATTACTACTATTATTGTCATTATTTTTATGATTACTACTATTATTGTCATTATTTTTATGATTGCTATTATTATTATTGTTGTAATGATAATATTAATACCTATTGTTATTATCATTATTATGATTACTACTATTATTGTCATTATTTTTATGATTACTATTATTATTATTGTTGTAATGATAATATTAATACCTATTGTTATTATCATTATTATTATGATTATTATAATGATTATTTTTTTTGTTACTATCATGATCATGTATCATTATTCTTGTTATTATAATTAGTAATGATAATAATAATGATATAATTATCATTATCATTACTATTATTATCAATAGCACCACGATTACCATTGTTCTACCTTCAATTATCGGATCGTCGTACCACAAAAGGATACTTCAGCATCGCTAGTCTCTCTAAAAGCGCCATGAGCTAAACTCTACCTCTTCTGGCAACCGATGTATAGATAGAAACAGGATCTTGTAATCTGACCCTGTTTTGCTGAATCTCCTGTAGCAATGTCCTCGTTGGCAAGAAGGTGTACTGTCTCAAAGCCGGACTAATGATGTTAATATGCTA